ACAAACTTGGCCAGGAATTGAACCCAGACCATCAGCCTTGAAGTCCAACGTACACTGACCATTAGGCCATCACATCTCTTACACTTGCAGGAATACAATGAAAAAGTTAGTGGCTAGGTAGTTTTTAATACTTTTTTTTACTTGTGAGCCATTTAGGCATTAATAAAATAAGATTTTGTTCATCAGTTGCGTGAACAACACAAAGGAAAACACAAAATTAACTGAAAATAGTAGGGCAAATAATATATGACCTATCAGTTTCATCACTTGGATCATAGTCTCCTTCTTCTGCAAGAGTGGACAACTGGGGCGCTTTCCATTTGTCGAAAAATTCCGGTTATACCGGATGGAATGCCAAATGGTTCGCAATTTTCCGAACGGAATTTCCGAAAAATATGGATGTGCTATCRAGACGATCCACTTTTCCCGCGTTTTCCGGAATTTCCGGTTGACGCGTGTACCATTTACGATTCCCGCCTGTTTTGGGTGGTAGACGCGCGTACCATTTCGATTTCCCGCTCTTTTTGGTTGGTAGACGCGCGTACCATTTCTTTTTTWGSAAGATGGCAGCAAACGAAAACAAGAACGAAGGTGGGTTATATTAAAAACGTTTTGTAAACAGTATATATGTAAAATGTTTTATAACTCGTAAAAAGAAATAGTATTTTAGCACATAAGTTCTTCATGAAGTTTATTAATCGATAATTAACATAGTAATGCAGTTTTTCTAATTTAGAATACAACTAGCTATAAGTTAATAACTTCATTTAAGCTTACTAACTTATACCCTTAAACTACATAAGCTCATTTTTATATCCAATTTTATTACTTTTTAAAAGGTTACAATGACGAAATATATCTAGATAGATGGGAAGAAAGACATGTGAAGTTATTAATATGTTGTTGGAAGAGMAACAAGACTCTATTTGGCAATGGCAAAACAACAAAAAAGGAAGTCTTCCAGAAAATTGYCTCCGAGTTCAACAGCAAGTCAGACATAAAAGTATCAGGGGACCAATGCTTCCGAAAATGGAATAAACTTACAGCCAAACACAAAGAAGTTGCAGACCACAATAGCAAGAGTGGAAACAACATTCAGAAATGGAARTTTCACAACGAAATGGATGAATGCATTGGGTCAAATGCAAGCGTCAAACCCACCTTCACTCTGGAATCATCTSCAGACATCCAAGAAAATGAGCTAGATGAAGAAAGCGACAGCTCTGATGGTGAAAACAGTCTTACACCAAAAAAGAAGACACCAAAGAAGAGACCAGCAAAGAAGCGCAAAAGCAAATCTTCTGCAGCTGAGATGCTCGAGTTCCTTAAAGAATACCAAGAGCAAAAAGAAGAGACCGAAAACAAAAAAATCAAGATCATGAAGGAGATGAATGAAGAGAAGAAGGAGTTTTGGAATAGCTTGTTGGATGTTATGAAGTCAGCAAAGAAAAGATAAAGGAATTGACAAGCTTTTATAAGCTGATTTACTTTAATTGTTTCTTTTCTTATACAAAAAATAAAGCATMTATTGTCTATTAATGGACATAATATTTCTCTTTAATTTGAGGATGAAGTTTATTTTTTAGAAAACACCTTTCAACAATGTGAAATGCTCTTTGTTCCATAAATATTATAATTATAAATAAATACTGTTAACTGAAAGAAATATTGAGTGCATACTTTACATATTAATATATGGTTATTTTRCAATTTCATTCAGTTTTGCYAATAATGCTAAATAAGAAGTGGTGTGTCTGCTGTTGAAATGCTTTATGAAGTCCTTTACAGATTGAACARTGATTTGATCAGAGATCAAAAATTCAGCATAATACATATATGCAACATTCATATATTTTCCAAGGAATAATTCACTTTTGCTCTTTACAAAGTGATCTATTGAGCAACAATATTGACAAGATGATTGCRTTTTTGTTCTGCTGTGGCATTTCTTGCAACACCATTCCTRCTATCATCACTATCATCATCACTATCATCATCATCACTGTCATCATCAAGAAAATAGCTGTCATTAAAGTCGTCGTGTAGAAGACAAAAGTTGTGAAGTACACAARCACCCATTATTAATTGCACCATAAGCTTGACACTTTCATGATCCAAGTATTTCAGCTTTCTCCATCTTCCTTTTAGCAGGCTAATTGTGCGTTCCACAACTTGTCTACCTGATGAYAACATGTTATTGAAATGAATTTGGTTCTGTCTTAGGTGTCCATTGTTACGAAAGGGAGTCATTAGYCACCTGTAAAATAACCAAAATGATTACATATTCAAGTTACATTTTCAAGAACATTAGTTCAAAGAACAAACTATAGTATATCAGTATAATCTTCAGTAGGGAAATTGGAAAAATAATTATAATACCTTAGAAGTGGATACCCTCCATCTCCAAGAAGGTGGTTATCATGAGGGAATTTGTTGGCGGCAGTTGCACTCAGTAAAGAGTTCCTCAAGATCCTGGAATCATGAACGGATCCTGGCCAGCCAGCCAAAGACATCTGTCAGAACCATATTRTTATCACAAACAACCTGACGATCAAAAAGGAAAAAACATTTGATGGTTACATTTTTTTTATATTTATTTTTGACTGAAATTGATATAATATATAAATATGCAAACAATAATTATAATATTTTACAGAAAATTAAAAGAACATTTCAAGGAAACTTGATAGCTCTAGTAAGTGTGGTGCTGCTTCACAGGAATCATAAATTCAACCATATATTTTCCTAAGAACTGCATCACTACTTAGTATTACTTAAGCAATAACATAAAGTAATTTATACCTGCAGTTGAAGAGCATGGAACTTCTTTCTACAGTTGTAGGAATCTTGATCAATACTGGGTGCCTTGATTCTTATAAATGAACCATCAATATCTCCTAAAATTTAAGGCAATGAAATATTCAAGGTTTAAAAATAAATAGTAATAAAAATTACCACTAATCATCTTGATAAACGTAATACATAAAATATTAGTGGGAGGGAGACCTTTATAGCATTAATACAAACCAAACTGATGTATATTGCAAAGGACAATGTGACAAAAATTTTCAATAARGACAAAAGAAAAAAGTGTGAGCAACAAAGGTCATAAGGAAAAAGTCATAAAGTCATAAGAATTAATTAGTGAATTAAGTTAATTAGTGTTCAAATTGGAAAGTTATGTTTTGTCACTAACCTATTACACCAGGCATGCCTACTGTATCCTCGAAATATTGAGYTACATTCCTCATCTCATTCTCTGCAATTATTAGTTTGAATTAATATTAATATATGAAATATTCATTTTTATAGAAAGCACACACTTAAGCTTGAAAAAGTGATTTATAAAATCACCTAATTTGTACAAGTTACTTTAACATATTATGAATTATTATCATTATTAGCAAATTAAGATTATTTAATTGTCTTACCATTTGGCCATTTAATGTATTGTTGTTTCAAAGATAGCACTCCAGAATTAACTCGGCGAAGCACTCTAGCACARCTRCTGAGTGTGACATTGAATCTGTCCGCCACCTGTCGCGTAGTTTCCATTCCATTCGCCATAATCCACAAATAAAGTAGAATTTGCTTGGCAGGAGGTATTGCGGGTCTTCCRAAGGTATTTCCCAGACTAATTAGGCCCGTAGCCATGACTTCTCTTGTTAATATTTSAGCAGTAGTACGCGAAAGTCGAAAATGACCCTCAAACTCATCATTGAAATAAGCCGRGACTGTCACTTCAAAGAAGCCAAAACTTCTATTAAGGTTTCTTCTCATGAACGTAGAAATTGTGGCAAATATTAACACATCGTCCTCGTCATCGTTTTCCAATAAGTTTTCAGTATTTTCATCGTCCAAGACGAGGAGCAAGAAAAGTTTGTCCGACATCTTTGTTTACATACACCTCTGTACTTTTGTCGACCGCTGTACTTTTTTATGAAGGCTCAATTTCCGTTCGAGATTTGATAGGTACATCTACCGTTCCTCCCGGTGTCACTGCTTAAAAAATAACTTTCCATTAGGAAACAAATTTCCAASCGAACGGAAAATATCAAATGGAAAGCGCCCCTGGACTTTAAAAAACTTTTCCATCCGTTCAAGTAATTCTCGCCACCATCTTTCGATTTTGTTCTGTGTTGAGGGACCATATATGATACTCTCTGTTGCATCTTCCAAATCACCTTGCTTGCTTCTAAGATAGCTGTGAATGGTAACCATTTCTCCTGTTTCAGTTCCCTTATCTATTCTTATTCTGTCTGGTAAAACTAACAAACAAAGAAAATTTATGTGRGTGATAGGCAGGTTTATCACAATTTATTATTTTTTTTATCATTATTCCCCCTAAGGGGTGTTCGTGAATGGTCTAGCAGCAATAAAGACCCTGTTAACCCCAAAATGTGGTGTTGTATATATTAGTATATATTATTTAGAACAATCGCCACAGAGTCTTTTGAGTATAATTCTTAGTCTCTTTTAAATAATTATTATTTTGAAATCGAGAGTATAATATATATCAGTTTTGACAAATGGCATCATTGTGCATCACGATTTAGGGGGGCAGGTAATAAAAATTTCTGCAGTAACAAGATCAAGTATAGGCTTATAAATGCTCCCCTATCATTTCAATGTTGGAGTTGATTACAGCAATTTAAGGTCARTAGACTACAAACACTAAAAGTGGGTAATACTTTGCACTATTTACTACTGAATAGTGTTAATTAAACAATAGAACACAATAGAATTAGCCAGTTTTGTACTATTTTGTACTAATTTCATTGCACACATTTACTGTTTGTACTCTAATATATTTAACAATTCGCAGGCGGTTTTCCACTGTCTCGCTAACGCTCGTAGTTCCACTTGGTTWTGAGCATTTTGACGTCAATTTCATTGTCAATAAGAGTACAGAGACAATGGAAAACCGCCTGCGAATTGTTTTTTACCATAAAAAAGCTGAAAACAWAGTAAAACTTTAAAAACAAAACTGTTTCTAGYGCGCGTCGGMTCCGTGCGCGAGCGATTCGTCATTTCATCCGTCTGTACTAGAATTGACAACGGCTCTCGACCAAACAGCGCGCGAGAATTCTACAAGTTATGGTAAAAATATACATTGATCATGAGTAGTGATGTCAAGTGTAATTTTACCTTTACTCTGAAACAGGTAATCAAAATAAAATCTTCCAATTATCTTTGGGTCAWTATTKGACGTCCAAATTCGAAGAAAATGGATTTTTCCGCTGAAAGTATCTTGGCCGCCATAAATACAAAGTGGAAACATCGACTTTTGAAAACCACAAAGTTTGTCGTGGCCATCAAGTGACATCGTAGAGTTAGCCCCCTATATTACAAAGTAGAACCAATTATTAGTCAACTATTAGATTATTAGTAACTACATTAAGCAAAATATTGTTGCTTAAATTGATGCTTACATTTGTAACAAATGCTTTATTTCTCTTGGGACGTTTTGGTTTTCCAACGCCACCCCTGGATTCAAGACCTTCGGGATTGACATCCGCGATGGTATCATACAAGTTTYTTGRTACGTTTAGACCGTGTACCTCCCTTATATTCTTGTGCATTGCACGATAGGCAAGGAGTTTTCCTGGCCCCTTCATCTCAACTTCAACTGCTTTCTTGACYTCGTCTACACTGGTGTCATAGTCAACATATTTGATTCCAAAGAATTCAAGACGACGCGAGAGTGTTCTTTTGCTCCATGCATAAATAGGATACTGAGCATTCATCACGTCTAAGATCTCATGTTGGCGATAATTGCGGCGAACAAAGTCTTCCAGATACTCTTTTAATTTCACATCTTCCATCCAATCGGCATTTCTAACACGCGTCGCCATTTTGTTTACACAGGAAGCCCAAACTCTATTCTATCACATGACCGAAGGCATGGAGATCACATGAGATAGCACAGCGCATGCGTCAAGTCATTGCACAATGCTCGTCGAGCTGACAAGTTTGTTATTCTTTAGTTTGTTAAAATCCAACGTAGTTAGATCACTATAGAGAAAATTTTACAAGATCTTCTAACGTAGTTAGAATTGTATACCA